TCTTAATCCCCTAGCCAAATCCCTTACGTATGTCTCTGCCCGGCTGCATATGTTGCCTCTCAGCTACCACATGGACTTCACCTACCCCCCCTTTCCACCTTCCCCGCTTCGCGCTCTCTGCCCAGTTGGTCCAGTCTGATGGGCATTTGCCGTGCGGCGCTAATCACATTTGGCGCTAGTCGCGCGGCTCTGAAATTCGCTTCGAGCAAGTTGTTAGACATGCGCTTCCGCTTTACGCTGTTTCCGTTTCCGTTTCCGTGTGCCGTTGCCACTTTTGTTGTTGTGGTCGTTTTTGGTTTTTTTTTTATGCCGTTACCACACACACATTCGTATTTGCCAGCCGGGCAGGCACTAAATTTATGCGTGTCAGATTTTCATGGACACACACGCGAGACTTGCCACGGGTCAGAGGAGTAGAAGGAGCAGAAGGAGGAGCAGAAGGAGTAGCAGCTGCAGGAAGGGTGGCAGAGGTTGGCTGAAGATTATAAGCTGCATGAAGTGGACTCACCTGGGGCAGCTGAAGATGTGCCTTCTCATAACTCAAAGCCAACTTGGGCCACCTGCTGCTCCTCAAGCTGGGCCCCAATACAGCCCCAGCTGACTTCGTATTACCCGAAAATATATATACATATATATATGTTTCTATGGAGCTGGCCAATTAGCTTGCGCTAATGAACTTAAGTAAGCGCACTTTGCGAGTTTAGTTGCGCTTATCTCTGCTTTGAATCTCTTCCTTCTTTTTCTGGCCTCGCTTTGGACACTTGCTAATTAGTTGCACTGCTTGAAGCAGTTGAGAATTATAAGCAACGCCTGTGTTTACACTGGCTGTAATTAAACTGTAAACCTATTATTTTAAACTTATATTTTGGTTTGGTCAACAGCAAAGAGAAGACTTTGCTTCAAGACATTCTCGAGCTCCATGCTTTATTCGAAGAATCGGGCGTTTCTATACTTTATTTAATTTTCGACATCTTAATATCTAAAATCCATACAAAATATTTAATTGTTCTCGAAAATATTAGGTCTTCAAGCTTAACTAACTTTTTGAGTGCTGAACCAATTTTCTTAGTTTTGGGCTTCGTTTAGCTTCTTCCTTGTTCCCAACCGTTGAACACCCTTTTTAAAGATCTTTTCCTCTTTAGCTAACTCAAATTAAATAACGTAAGAATCATCTTGGTCTATTAAAGGTACTTAAATAGGCCTAACGAGCTAAAAGGCAAGCTAAGCTAACTTAGTCTAAACCAAGGCATTTCACATGCGTCTTAAGTTATTTGGAATTCAAGTTTTCCTACTTTTCCTGTATTTAAATTAACAATATTTTTACGAGTTTAGTTAATTTTGATTCTGTTGTAGCTTTGTTTTGATATTTTCCAAGAAATATAATTTATAATTAATTTTGGAATTCTTTTTAACCTCAATTCTTAACCCTTGTTTGCGCACAAATTTGTTGCCTGTTGAAATACGCAATTGAGACTCAGAGCAGTCAGCTTTTGTCAGCTATCTGTTTGAAAAGGGTAAACTTAGCTTTTATTTATGCTAGACTTTAATTAATGTGTGTGTGTAAACACACACATACACACACACACGCACACGCATAAATGAAATAAAAGCGACTTCCAAAGGCAATGCGAAAAATCTCTGATTAAGTGGCTGTCGCTGGGGGCGTGGCCCGGAGGCGGCAATTAATTTATGAGCGCGCACAGCCCCTGAGCCCGTACCTCAACACACACACACACACTCACACACACACACACACACACACACACACACACACACACACTCGCACACACACATTAATTAATTACTGTGATTTCTTTTAGCGCTTTATATTTTTTTTGTGTATTTATTTATTTTTACTTCTTTTTTTTGTTGATGTTGTTTTGCTTTCTTCTTGTTGCCGCTGATTTATGTGGCGCGACTGCGCTGCCACTGCGGCTGCTGCTGCTGCTGCTACTGCTACTGCTACTTATTAATTCGCCGCAACAATAACTGCTGCAACAACAACAACGAGAACAACTACACAAAAGCGAAAGGTCGCACAATTTGCTTTGCCTGCTTTTGGGCGGCGCGTGAAGTGCTGCTCGGGGGGTTGCGCGGCCACCGGGGAGGTTGGGCTTAAAGCGGGTCGCGATTTGTTTTTTTTTTTTTTTTTTGTTATTTTTGTTTTGTTTTGTTTCACAAAATGCGCTTTGTTCAGCGGGCGCGCGCGCTGCAGCCGCTTCCCTCCCCTCCCCGTCCAACGACAATTGTCAACGGGCAAACAGCAGCAGCAACAACAACAACAACAACAACAAGCGTAAGTGCTTAAGTCAGGAGTGTTCGACTGGGAGATGCCCTGAACCAGGCGCTCAGCAATCGCAGTTACATGCGACACTTTTGCTGCGCGCCTGTTACATTTTTGTTTTCTTCTTCTTTTCTACTCCTTAAACCATTTAATAGAAATACATTCGAAAATTACGTGGGTATTTACAGTCCGATCTTAATGAAATTTTCAGCGTCTAACTATGGCATACAAAAGTTTATGATGCCAAGGCGCAAGGTTCTATCTTAAAAATAGGCTCTAGCTCATATAGTTTTGTGTAGAATTCAGGAGCTTACCAACCGAGTGAAATATATTTCAAGGCTAAATAGCAAATTTGGTGTACCCTGCTCTTATAAAGCTCGAGAGATAAAGTTGCAAATTCGAAAGTGGGTACTTAAACAAAAAAGAAGTATGATAAACTTGAACTGTGCTTGATCTGTGATATACAAGAATGTCTACATGTTTATATACTTTGTGGACTCGTAGAAGCCAAAATTTAGCTTGACAAACATGCGCAGAGAATCGTCATACCCTGCTTAAGCACTTTCAATGGGTTCAGGGTATAACAACGGGCAGTCGAGTTATCCTAAATAAACACATTTTCCAAGCTTCGCAGCGCAAGCATTTTCTTTCTATTTTGTTTCTCCGCCCGGCGGACTCTGGGCCACAATTCGCGACCATCCCTCCCGTTGCTCCACTTAGCCAATTCACTTGGCATTCAGCAAACTGTTGCTGATGCGCCCCACACAAACAACAACGGGCGGGAGGGGGCTTGCTTTCCCAGTGGGAGGGGGGCGGTGCACGTGTACTTTGGCTTGGATGGGCGCCGCTTTCAAATTAAACTCGCAAGAAAAACAAATTAGTCGCCAACGGACAACGCATTTGTCTAATGTTTGTTCTTTGCTTTTCAAGCAGCGGCTCTTGTGGGGGGGTTGGGTGGTGGTTTGTCCATCTGGGAGTGGGGGGCAGCAAGGGGCAGGCAGCGGTGGCCATTCAACTTGTCGCACGGCTCGTTGCAAGCACTTAATATGCGTTGCCTCAAAAAAGCTTTAATCTAAAGTGCCAGCAGATTTGTCATCTTGTGCCGTCTCGCTCGAGAGAAATATCAACTGCTGCTTTCTAATAAACAAGATCATTAAAATTTAATTTGCATGTCAAATATTTAACAGCTGCATGTGCTGCCTGACAGATTTTAAGTGTCAGATTAGCTGAGTCTAGAATTTATGAAGTGCTTGGTTCAGTTTTGGCAAGCAGTTTTGCTAGAGGTATGGGATGCTCTTTTTTTTTTGTAAGGTAAATCGAACGTTAATGTAAAATAGCTTAGGAGAATAAGGAATAAATCAAGTAAGTTTCTTTCAGTTAGTTAAGCTGCTTGTTAAATTTTAGCTGACAGATAAGCTTAGTAATTTTGTAGCTAAGAGTTTTATCTTATCATAACTCCCGGACTACCTAAGCTAAATGAAATTACATTTGAATGTCAGACACCTAACAGTTACTTGTACCGCTTGTTAAATCTCCAGAGCGACTTTAACTAAAGTCGCATTTAAGTGTTTGCAATTAAATAGTTAGATAAACAACGCTGCAAGCTGCAGCTGCCAGCTTAACTGAAATGAATACAAAAAATTGCATGCAAATTAATTCATATTGGCTTTTAACAGCCAGATAAACTGCCTTGTAAATGCTAACTGTCAGATAAATGAAAATGCGCAAACTTAAGCCCGCTGTCAAATTTAAATGTCAAATGGGAAACAATGTGATTTACGGATTAAAACCAGACATGGGCATGGACAGAGTTAAGCTGAAAGTTATTTCTTTGCGAATACATATATATATATATATCATATATGTATATATATAATTTATTCTGCATCTAGTTCTCTTAGGCTTAACGCATCATACAAAATGTGTCGCTCGCAATGGAAATGTTGCAAATGGGCGACTTTGTGTCATTTGCATAGCTGATCAGCTCGTTGCCCGTCTGCCACACCCACTTCCGCCTCCCTCGCCTCACTCCCTTCGCCGTCAATCCTAGGTATTGTCGTGTGTCAAGTGCAGCGCAGTCTGCGATGCGAACGAATGGACATATGTGGGTCATATAAAAAACCGATAACTGGCAATGCCAAACCAAGCTCAAGCCCTCGAGTCCTCGAGTCAGCGCGACGTCAAGTGCGTACGATAAATATAAATGTTCATAGAGTGTGTCCTGCAGCTAAAAAAAAAAAAAACAAAAACAACAACAACACACACACGTAACACACATAAAGCACACAACACACAACATACACAACCGCAGCTGTACCTTAACCCGTGTTCTACGCTGCGTATACGTTATTTTTCCTTTTACGCAATGACCAGCACTTTTTTTGCTGTTTAAAGCTGCCCCTTGATTAAACAACATGGGGTATATTTGTTCGTGTGTGCATAAGAAGAGTGTGAAAATGATTACTGGCTGTGAAATTGAAATATTATTTCAGATTTTGGGTTAAATAGGTTTCTTTTCTTTTAAATACTTCAAAAGCAAAGATATGCTTTTAATTCCTTGTTTTGAATATTACGATCAAATATGTTTAATTATTTATTGTTTTGCTCTTAAATTAAATTTAAAATTGGAAAAGTTAAAAAAATAAAATAAATATATATTTTATATAATATTGTAACATGTATATTTAAGTATGTTTTAGTTTTTTTTCTATCCTTTCAAAAATTTAAAACAATATTTATCTAGTTCTTTTCACTCGTATTTCGTTGTTTTCATTTTTGCTTATCCGCTTAACCGTGTGGAAAATAAACGGAAATCTTTGAGTGAAATGGAAATGGAAATGTTTTAAAATCAGTTGGATTTTCTGCAATCATTTCTTCTGACTGCTATGGAAAATAAGGCATTAATTGAATAAAATTTATTTGTAAAGCAATTTACCGATAAATGGCAACACTTGTACAGGGCACGCTGCAGCGTGCATGCTTTGCCTTTGTTCGCCAGTTTTTCATTTCTGTTTTGCTTTTACCGTTGCCGTTGTCGTTACTGTTACAGTTGCTGTTGTTGTTGTTGTTGTTGCTGTTGCTGTTGTTGTTATTTAAGTTGGTGTCTCTGCACACACATCAATCCTGATGTGGTGTGCCTGTGTGCTTGTGTGTGCGTGCGTGTTTGTGCTTGTGTGTGCTCTTGCATATGCATAATACATGCAAGGGCCGCCGGCTAGCGGCTGCGGCTGTCTCGTCTCGTCTCGGCTTGTCTGTCTATATGCCAGACCCCACTTCCCCCCTTCACTGTTCCAGCCATCGTGCATAGCGAGCCGCAGAGTCCATATTATTTTTAATAGTTTTCAGCCGACGCACAGTCAACGTCGACGTCGACGCCGGCGTCGTTTCATTTGCCGCTTGTTTACTTTGCAAACTGGGTCTCTCGTCCTTCGCCCCCTGCTGCCTGCCCCGCCCATCGCAGTGTGGCCCTGCTCCTCTTGCCCGCAAATCAAACAATGAACTTTGCAGGAGAACAAAAAACCAAAAAAAAAAAAAAAAAAAAAACAAATGAGAAAAAAAAAAACAAAATGAAAACCAAATTTTACGTAAACTTTTGTTGCGTTTTGTGCATTTTTGGCGTGCAGCGTGACGACCAACGGGCAGCTGCCACGCCCCTGCCAAAGTGTTTGGCCAACACGCGAGTTATGGCCCTTTGATGAACTCTTGGCCAGGCCAATTAGCATACGAACGCCAGGTGGCGCCGCCCAATGCCAATTGCTGGCAAAATATGTTTCAAAATGCGCACAACAAACAGCCAAAGAGTGAGAGAGGGAGAGCGGGAGTGAGAAAGAGATAGGCAGAGCGTGTGAGAGAGACAGAGAGAGAAAGCAAGCGAGGCGTTGTATTTACGTCTTGGACGTAAAGTTTAAATACCTAAACACAGAATGTGGAGATATATATAGTGCGATTCTAATAAGAACTGACTCACGCATAAGCAGACAATCAATCATCATCAGTCAATCAGTCAATCAACCAGCAGAGATATCATTTTATATAGAAGATAGATTGACTTGGCTGATCTAAAGTGTTGTTGTAGGGGTCCCTTCTTCGCCTATGAATGTCCAAAACACGGCTCAGACAGCTTGTGGCCACTGCGGTGGGCTAAATTGCTGAGGGGGCGGAGGAGGGTTAAGGCCAGCAGCGGGGTGAACTGTTAAATAGTTCAACTTCAAAGCGCTGTCGTCGTCATCTTCGTCTCAATTGAATGATGTCACACGAGACGATGCGCCATAAACAAACAAATGACAAGCGGCTGCCTGCATGATACACAAATCAGGCAACACACGCACACACACACACACACACACACACACACACACACACACAGCCATTGCACTTGTAAGCCAAAGAGGCAGACAAAAGGCTTAGCGAAGCGTCGCAAGACGCCAAGACGCATGAGTTGATAGCAGCGGCAGCGATGCCAGAGCTGACGCTAACAGCGTAAGCAGCGCGCACACAACACACACACAACACACACACAACACACACACTCACGCACACTCACACACACAGCGCTTCAAAGGGAACGCAGAGACTCCAACACGCCGGCAAGGACACGGCTGGCGACTGCCGACAAAACAGAAAAAGCCACAAAGCCACATTTGTTATCGATAATCTCTCATTGTGTGCGGGTTGGCAACTCTGTGGAATGAAAATGTTTCAGCCATGACGGAATTGAAGACAATTAGCGAACGCTTTCTTATCGGCCCGTCACAAAGGCTAGGCGCATGTTATCGATAATTGAATTGAGCACGACAAGACTGTACAACAAAACGGTCGAGAGTACTTAATGCGGCAACTTTGTTAAACGAAGAGTAGTTAGAGTATCTGTAGCACACTTCTTTATGGTTGATATGAAAATAATATGTACAAACGATCAATAAAACATTTTGTTTTTGATATTGTTAACAACTGCCAAATATGACAGCCCTGTGCGTCTATTGCTTGGCAACATGTTATCGATATAAGGCTTAAGTGTTTTTTCTAAAAGGACTATCACGTTTCGATAAAAGTAGTTCCAGCGTGTGAAATCCGAACTATGCAAAAAGACTTTAATCTATTTTATTTTATTTCCTTAATCTGATAATAATTATAATATGTAATTATAATTATATAGTAATTAATAATTCTTCATAAGGATATATCATTTATATAAATATTTTTTTTACAGCTGAATTAATTATTATAAGAAGTATGCAATTGAACGATTAATTTTAACATGTCCCTTGTGTTACTCTCTCCCTCTCTCTTTCTTTCAGCAAGTAAGTAATCGATAACCGACCTGCCTATCTATCGATTAGAAGTCGAATTGTGTATGAAAATCAAGTTGAGTAATTGCCCCTTAAAAAGCCTTCAAAATGAGGAACTCTCCATAAAACAATAAAAGGTATGTTAAATGTTAGATTCTTTATGTACGTGTTATCGATAATTATCGATAGAGAATTGTAAAGGGCAACTCTGCAATGTTTGCAGTGAGAACGGAACTTGAGCTACGCAGAATTTCATTATCGATAACTTAACAATATATACATATGCATGAAAATATCAATTGCTTATTGATTTTGTTAAAGGTTTAGCTCAAACCGTTTTGTTGTACTTTTGTCGCCTGTGCCAGTATCAACTGAATGCAGCTTGAACCACGCGCGTGTGTGAATGTGTTTGTGTGTGTGTGTGTGCGTTAATCTGTTCATATTTTATGTTCACATTATGCCATAAAATCAAAATAAGAGCCAAAGCCAAAGGCAAAGGCGAAGGCAGAGCCAATGCGATATGCATATTTGCACTCTCATACTAGTTTACTCACGCTTGCACTGAAACTTAATGTCTGGCACGTATTCGTATTCGTATTCGTATTCGTTGTCATATTCGTATTCCTATTCGTATTCGTAGTCATATTCAGAGTTGTAGACACGAATAATATTTGCATAAAGGCTCAGCCAGCATTTGCATTTAGATGGATAGATGCTGTTGCTGCTGCAGCTGCTGTTGTTGTTGTTGTTGTTGTTGTAAGTTTTGACATTGTTGCCTCATTGCGAGCAACGAGCTGCATCTAATGCAAATGCACAAATGCGATTTATGACAACCCTGGACAAGCGTGTCCCTGCTCGGGCGCCAAGAGCAAATACAGAGCCTTGTTTCTAGTCACTCATTCGCTCTACCCCTCTCTCTCTCTCGTTCTCTTTTTGTCTCACTCTCTATGTTTCTTTGCCGCTCTCTATCTATTTCTAACTAGCAAACATTTACACACACACACACACATACACACACGCACACACACTCATACGTCATTCATCATTTTACTGAGCATTTGGCTGTTTGGCACGCTGTCAGCTGGCCCATTAACGCGGCCAAGTCTCACCCTGCTGCCTATTGCCCACATTGGAGCCCCCCAAGGCGCTCACCCCACTCCTCGGTCCACCGACTTCTGGGCTGGCTATGTGATATGGGAAGCAGCGTTGGCAGCGGCTTAACCCAACATTTGTCTCTGGTTTGTTGTCTGTTTGCCTGCCGCACACAAAATTCAATAAAAATATTTGATTAATTGTGCAAAATGCACAAAATGTTTGCATAGTTTTCGCTTACCAATCACAGCTAAAGAAAGAGGGAGGGAGGGAGAGAGAGAGAGCGCGCGTAAATGCCTTTAACTATTAGCATTTAGATTCCTCAAGAGATTTGCGCTCAGCAACTGACGCAGATCATTTTGAAAATCATTGGTTTTTCCTCTAAGATATTTCAGTTTTGCAAGTCATGCACTAATAGTTGATATATGCTAAAATAGATAAGAATTTATCTATTTTCAAATGCTTCACATTCGTATTATTTTTGGGCAGATGGCCTTTGGTTCACAATTTGGGGAAATAATAAATAAAAATAATGTAATATTTTACAAATATTAGTGTGAGAACGTGGCAACGCCATTTACTTAAGTTGGCAACGCTTGCAAAATATAACCTGTCAGATGTATTATGAATTGACCAGGTGGCAACGCTGCAACTTTTATACAACTGATATAACCAGGTTGATAAATTGCCATATTAATATTGCAGGGCAGCTCGCCCTGAAGCTGAAGAATTTAATTTGTGTATCCGACAATGCCGCTTAATTAAGTTGGCAACACTCATTGAATAGGGTTGGGTTGAATCATTGTAGAATTTATATTTTATAAGCTGATTTCCCCATACATGCAACATTGCTTGATGTTGCCGGATATATTCTATTTTATCTATTTATAAAGGTTGAGTTCCTGCTTAGCAATCGCTGTCGATAACAGCAGCAGCTAACTGCACTGAGATTCGCATAGAGAGGCAGCTGCTGGCCTGTTGATGTTTAATTTGATGTTATCTATTTTTAAGCTCTTCTGTTTTATTTTCTTTCCTCCTTTTTAAGCTACTTTGTGACAGCTGTTGGTGCAGCACAAAGGCAAAGAGAGCGAGTATTTCGATTTAAATATTTCATTGGGTAAAGTTTTTTGGCTAAATGGCACAGGAAAGGGGGGGGGGGGAGAGCGTATAGGTGTAGTTGGGCGGGGTGCGGTTGTGTCTGCTCATCTGTTTTGTCAGTTCGTCTGTTGCATTATTCATTAGAAAAGCGGCGAAACCACCTGGCGCAGCGCAAGGGGGCGTGGCCCTGGACAAGCAACGACTTCCGGCAGAGCCAGCAGTCAACTAGATGGATGGGATAAGAGAGCGCCAGCCGGAGGGGCTGGCAACGGGGATGGGCAACGGAAATTGCAAGCATGACCAAATAATGACTCACACACACAGGCGCACAGACACAGACAGGCGCACAGATGCGCGATTCGGCAAAAACCAGCAAAGCAAAGGTGCTGCTTTAACAGGGTGTTCCAGGGGGATAGGGTAGAGCGGGAGGGGAGGGTTGTATGTCGTGTGGGGGCAGCGGCTGGGGGATCTGTTAGCTGGGAAATCAGCGCACTTGTCAAATATGTTGATGGACACTTGAAAGGCAAAAGGCTGGCGAGACAGGCAAAAGCCCGGCATGCCAAAAGCCAAATTGCTTTTCGAAATACATTTTTATAATATTTACCACCCTGCCCCCCCTACCCCGCTCCTTTTGTAATACCCTGCAGCGTATGGGGCTGCAAGGGGTATCTTGACAGTTGGGCTTATGTTTCCTTTCTTTCAATTATTCCTTGAAAATTCGCATATTTGGCAGATATTTATGTTTTAGCATATTTAAGGAGTATAATAGAATCATATTGAAATGTATGGGAAAAATTTCAGGGTCATCAATTAGCATATATACGAATTTGTATACTCCGTGAACAGATCTGATAATATTTACAAAGAGTTCAGTTTTCTTTCTACTTGAAACTAATTACTGGGTATCTGCGGGCCTATTAACTTATCTCAATATTGGTGTGTGTGTATGTGTTTTTATTTTGAAATACTTGCTTAAAAGTTGAGTTGCATGGAGAATGAAAATGGAAATTCTTTTTATATACATTTCATTCTTTTGTTAAATGCTTTTGGCTTGTCTAAAAATAGTTGGTGGGGATTGGGGATGTGTGTGTGTGTGTGTGTGTGTGTGCGTGTGTGAGTCACAAAGGCGCAATATATGACATATATACATACATACACACTCATATGTATAAGGCATATCATAATATCAAGTATGCGCCATGTGTTACGGGCAGAGCCCAAAAGGCGCCAGCGTCAACGTGGCTAAGTTCAATTTGCTTTCAAGTGGTGTCTGTGACATGTGTAGCGGTTGTTGTTGTTGTTGTTGCCCACCCACCAGGCATGGCATATAGCATAACACACATACACACCCGCCCCTCCACTGCACACTTTGTTTATCTCTATCTATCGATATATATCGACGGCTATGCACACAAATGATTTATTTATTTATTTACTTATTGCCAATGCCAATGACGCGAGTTTTTCCATGACGCAGCTGCCAGCACAGCCCCCTCACACACACACACACACACACACACACACACACACACATTGACAAAACAAGCGACACACAATAAAAGCACCTTTGAATCTGTATTTAGAGTGCGAGTTCTGTTCAAATTTATTGGACATTCGTCGCTGGACTTGCAATAAAAACAGGCCAAATGCAGACAACTTTGACCTGAAGACCCTTAAATACCCTTTAGTAACGAATATCTATATTTTCTTTAGTTTTCATGCCAGAATCATATGCTTTTAACAATTATATCTATAATTTATTGATCCGACCAATTCTATGTGCTATTCGTTGATTTGTGTGCTATCGATAAATAAGTAGAAACGATATAATTAGTTCGTCTATCTGTATATTATCTATCGATAAAATCGTATCTTAAAATTATAATAACTCAATCAATGCCAATCGCTTGGGATATATATCGCTATCGATATATATATGTATGTATAAACAGACATTAGAAGAAATTCTTTAATTTGTTAGTCATTTAATATAATACTTATCGATAACCAACATATCGATACTTGGTATGAAATCGATTCGAGATTTCAACTATTAAACCTTGCCAAGAGATTAGTTCACCTTGAACTTATCCATAGATCATTTCAGCAACACGCTTTACAATTTTGGTCTATCGATATGTTATCAATCGATCATTTCTATTACTGCTGATATTCATTTTGAATTGTGTACCCTTCTTCTTTATCCCACTCGATTTGTTACACATTCAATAACCAAATCGGAATGCCCGAACCGCGTCGTGTTGTAAAACTTTAGCTCGTCCGGCAACTAAATTTGCAAACAAACAAATTTGTTGGTCCGCTGATGCCACAATTAGCTGCAATTAGAAGTAGATGATCCGTAATTGTGGTGCCGGTTGGTAAAGTGCTTGGGGACTTGATGAATTTCAAACTAGGCAACGAATTGGACACTGATTGATGGACAGCCGACTTGGAAATTTAAA